TCCACCAAAATGATATTGACTTCTAAATTCTTCATCAAGAAAATTTGACAGGGAAAAGTCATCTGGTATCCTTAATGTCCTTTCTTTCCTTTGTGGGGCCAGCATGAAGCCTAATCCGCCAAGTAAAAAGATGGCCATTTTGTTTTGTTTGGAGAAAGGTTTCCCTTGATTAGTGAGTTAATTCACCTCGCTAGGTGTGTTAGAGTTAACCTTTATTTTAACCCTGGGATAGTGCTTATCACGCTTTGAGGAACAGAAACTAATCTTGTGTTAAATTTTAATCTTAAGTTAGGGCGATTTAATTGTGGGCTAGTGCTAATCAGCTCTTGGACAACCAGGGCCATGTGATTAGAATTTGATTAATAAAAACCTTTTTAAACTTGTTGGTTGTTCCTTTTTCTTCTCACAACCTATTTGACTGATAGCATATTACTATGGTCGCCATTTTGTAGCAAAATGCAAGAATGTATATGTGTCAAAGTCAACAAATTGATACCAAACTCAACCTTTTTCTCTCAACATCAACACCATCAACATGCCACTTTCAACATTGTAGTAACTCTTAAATCAACAAAGAAAATCACTTTGACAAAAAGTTTATTTTACTTGGTGATCAACACTCTGTAACTGCCCTCAAGATCAACAAACAAAAATTTCCATCAACAAATTGGGTGTAAAGGTATAAAACAGATTTTCACTGGAGAAGCAGACAGAAGAGTACCAGTGTTCAGCAATGAGCTTTGGTCAATCACCTCTTTGAAGTTTTGGGGAAAAGGATTTCCAAACAAACACACCATTGACATCATGCACCCCATCCACTAACGATTCATGTACCTCATTCTCGCCCACATCTATTTCACCACCTTTGCGTACACAAGAATTGTTTTCCCCATCCCCGTCCACCTCCCTGTCCCAATCTTCAGGCTCATCCCAAAGCAAAGTAGAGTGGTCACCATCCCACTTTGGCTTTTGGTTCTTTCACTCTACACCGACAATGAGACAAAAAGGTACACAAACATATCGACTGAACAGACATGACTTGGCTACAAGCTTGTATAAGCATAAAGGTACCCAGACAGACAAACCACTGCAAGGACATGGACGTGGTCATTCACTTGAGACATCCCATACCCACTGCACACTTGCAGCATGCATGGGTTATGGACCACATCCACCCTACACATGCTTTTACTATGTCAAATGTGCCCTCCACTGTACTTAAACCTTTTAAATATGCAGTAAAGGGAAAAAATATGGTTGATTAAAAAAAAACATGAAAAAGTTTCTGTTTTGAGATACTGTGAATAGTCAGATACATTGATGTAATTGGTTTTGTATTTGAAGAAAGGTGTTTTGTTCTTATTTGAACAAAAGGTGCCAGCAAATGACGAAATTACAGGCTAACATTAAAATCAAATAACACAAATAATTTTGGCTACCGATTTTCAGTGAATTTTTAAAGAACAATTTTCTTTAAGTTTCAAGACAATTTGAGGATTTAAAATAAATATTACATACTAAAATGCAAAAGTTATACACCACAAAATTGATAAAATAGGCCTGAAATGAAATTCCATCTTGTTCTTGATTGTAAGTTGCCTAGCACGTGACCAAAATCTACCCAGATGGAAATCCAAAATGGCGGTGGCAGTCTGAACTTAGTTATATCACTCAAAACTCATCCCCATTTGTCTCATTTGATAAAGAGAGAATCGTTAATGTTTTCATTTAGACAGTATTGCCTTGATTTTCCAACACTAACAATGATAGACAGCAAATTTCACTTTTCACCCACATTTACTTCCAACCTTTTCTTTTGGACCAGAAACAAAAATTATATATGTTTAAAACACATGATATCATCCATCCTTGTCAAATGTAATAGCATGATCATTTCAATTGTGATGCCTTCTTATCCCAACGTTACTGTGTTTCTTTGCTACATTAGCAAACACTGAATTACTGCTCATACTCTAAATATGACAATCAACCACAAAATTCCCTAAACCAGATAACATTAAGCATAATCCAAAAAATCATGTAAGTCATCTGTCAATTCACGAGTTTGCTCACAGAGCACTTTGATCATTTTTGGTACTCAACTGAAAGTCAATTTAGCAGCAGATCGAAGATTTAAGAAGGATTTTGCTGTGTTTAAAGAATTGTGTTTACTGGTTTTGCTGCGGTCTGAGTAGCTCGATAAATTTGTACTTACACATTTTGTACCTAGGCTTGCTGCTGGATGCTACTTGTCAGTGAAAAAGAGACAAGTTGGAATAGCATATAAACATGATCTAGAAAGAAGTCAGTAAACCTTCAGCTTGTGAACATTGTCTCTGTTGGTATCTCAAAGGTTTGTGATGTCTCTTTTAACAAAGTTCTTCTATGGAAAGTTATTGGCTAGTACCATTGCCATGGTCTTTGGAAGCAAAACTGCGGGAAAGTCGTTCTTTGCGATAGAAACCAGCTATTGCCTTATATCATATTGCTATATATGATTGCAGAGAACATAACTGTGGTTGTCACCTTGGCACCTTGCAGTGACAAATCTGAAAGTAATGAAGCATGATTATCACTGGTCCCATCTAACCCTTTTTGATTGAAATTAATTAAATATGAATGAAGCCTTTCAATCATAGATATTCAGTGTACAGACAGTACCTACCCTCTTCAGTTTCAGAGAGAGAATCACAAGTACTATTATTAAAAGAACTTGGTATGTCTGTGTCCCCTCCTTCATCACCATGAACTGCAAGGTCACTGTCAGCTTCAGATGAACTGCCACTCACTCTTAGTGTTTTAAGGGTATGTTTGTCTAGCCATAAAGAAACACATACATTAGAAGCCTGGATTACTGTTTTATATGAAACTCTTTTCACAGTTCCAAGGGATCCTACAAACTGAAATTTGGTATTTTATATAGCTTTATTCTATTTTCCCTTATATTAAGTTAATGAAAATGGAACGACAAACCTGTGTGTCTAGCAAGTCCTTTGTGAATTTTACGTCTTTCATTTAAAACATCTAATACCGTATTTACCCGTGTATAATGCGCGCCCGTGTATAATACGCATCCCAATTTCAGACCAAATTTTGAGAAAAAAGAAAAATAAACTACTCAACAAGAAGGTGAAATTGTATAACATTATTTATTTCAATTAACTTGGCAAACTAACGAAATGACTCGGACTCGGAGTCTGACTGGAACAGTTCTCTTGCAAACGAGTCATCGAGCTCGTTGTTGCAGTCATCGTTGGCCTCGTAAACTAGGTCGTCCTCGGATCCATCAAGGCTGTTGGTGATCCCGCATTTTAGAAATGAGGATTCAATCATTTCTTCGGAAATGTCCTGCCATGCTCCTGCGATCCACGAAAGGATCAGTTCCTCGGATGGTTTCTTTTGGCGGCCACTCGCTGTAAATTCATGGATTCCCTCCGCCATCCACTCCATCCACCTCTTTCTAACACCATCTTTAAACGGCTTGTTTAAAGAGACATCCAGCGGCTGCAAGATCGAGGTTAATCCGCCAGGAATTACTGCTAAGTTCGTGTTTTCTCGTGTCAGTGCTGTTTTCACTCTTTCGGTCACGTGGGCTTCAAACGCGTCACAAACAAGCAGGCTTCTTCTCCTCCCCAGGCCACCTCTCCTCGAACACCAAACTTTGTTGATCCATGTTTTCATTCCTTCACCGTCCATCCAACTTTTCTCTTGAGCGGCGATTACAACTCCGTGCTTGTTGGCAACCTTTGGGAGAGTTTTTCTTTTGAAGATTACCATCGGTCTCAGTTTGCTTCCATCGCCAGCACAGGTCAACACGACTGTAATGCGGTTCTTTTCATTACCCGTCGTACGAATCTTGATCGTTTTCTCTCCCGAGTTGTTGATGGTTCGATTTGGCGGCATGTCAAATGTTAGTGGCGTTTCGTCCATGTTAGCAATAACATGAAGAGGATAATTGTGCTCTTTGCGAAGATCGATAATGTAGCGGTGGAATCGCACGATTTTCTCCTCATAGTCATCTGGAAGCCGCTGGGCAAGAGTTGTCTTTTGGCGAAGAGACAAGCCATTACGCTTCATGAAACGCTGACACCAGTGGTTGCCTGCTTTAAACTGCCCTTGTGGAATCCCATATTTCTCGTTCTTTGCCATGTTGAGGGCCTTCAGCCTCACCAGCGATGGTAAAATGGCGAGACCATTGTTCCGTTTCTCTGTGATCCATTCGAGGAGATCAACCTCAAGTTCTGGCTATGCAGCTTTTTTGCCACGATTTGCTCGTTTCAACCGAGGCATCTTTTCCAAGTTTTCCTTGCTCTTCCGCCATAAGCGAACATTACTTTCAGATACTCCGAACTCTATTTCAGCAGCGTGATTTCCATGCTGTTCGGCGAAATTGATGATTCGTAACTTATCTGACACTGTGTAACTTTGACGCTTTGTTCCGGTGAGTTTTGTAGCCATGTTTACGTTTGATTGCTCAAGATTACAGTAACTGTTTTGTTGATCAGCTGTTCGCTTAAATACTTAGTTAAATTTATTCAAGGATCCAAATTGTTAACATGTCATTGGTAGGTTAGTTTACCCTCAAATTAAAGACCAATTACATCGCACGCTTATGTGTCTTTGTTATTCTAATGTCGCGTGGGCCTAAACAAAGGATTCCGTGTATAATACGCATCTCGAATTTAGGTGTTCGTTTCGGGAAAAATAAGTGCGCATTATACACGGGTAAATACGGTACATGCTGTTTGATGCCTTCCTTGTTAAACTCTGCTGGTACAGAACTGCAGGTCTCTTCCAGTGTAGACACCAAACTGTCAAGCTCTTTTGTAATAGCAGAATCATTCTTAACTTATTCACCACCAAGTATTTCAGATGTAAAGTATCCTGGACACCAGTAACTTTTGTGTTTTTACAGAGATGTTGGAAAATATTTGAAAGTGACCAATCATACTCGGGTTTGCCCAAGGCATTTCAAAGTGGCTGATTATCTCCCATCACTTATGAATGAGAAAAGGATCTTAAAACCTGCTGCAGTTCCATCTGTATTTATTTGGAAGAGAGGATCCCCAGTAAAGAGGAAGTCGCTGAAGAAAAGAAACCCTATTGAAAGAAAAACTTCTGTGGAAGGATCGAAAACAATGGCTGCCAAGGTGACAAATGTAAATTTCAGTTCTACATGTGATCTTCTGTCAACTGTTAGCAAAAAAGAATCCAAAACTGCCAACTCAAAGGGAGAATTTTCTGCCAGGCGGAGAGTTTTCAGTGTGAACAGATTTTTGAAATCTGATAAAGATGTCAACTTTTATACTGGATTTCCAGGCAGGTTTGTTTTCAAGAAACTGTACAAATTTTTATATCCTGAAACAGAAGGCGAAAACATCAATTACTGGCATTCCACCAGGTCTTATCAGTTAGCTCACTGGAAGATCCAAGTCAGTTGTAGTTACACTATACCAAGACCAAGAATCTTGGGGCCAAAGGATGAATTTTTCCTCACAATCTGCCGACTAAGGCAAGGGTTCAAAGAAGAACATCTAGGCCACCTTTATGGTGTATCCCAGACTATTGTCAGTTGCATAATAATTTCATGGATCAAATTTATGTTCTTGAAATTCAGTACCATTCCAATGTGGCCATCAAGAACCACAGTTGATGATCACATGCCAGCAGATTTTAAAGAAAAATATCCCTCCACAAGGGTTATTATTGATTGCAGAGGTTTGCTGTCAGATGTCAGAGTCCTTGTGTAAACAGTGAACTTTTCAGGTCTTATAAAAATAATACAACATTAAAAGGTCGGATTGGTATCTCATCAGGGGGTGCTATAATATAGAAAACTTTCCACATATGGGACAGTATTGGGCCATTCACCCTTTTTGGGTTTGTAAACCAAATGTGGACAGTGTGCGCTATGTTATGCAATTTTCAAAACAGTATCATTAGCTCATAGATGTTATATTTTTTTTGGCCTTTTCCTTTATTGTACTAAAGGGCCTTGTAAGCTTGATAATTATGTACTTAAAACTTGTAACACTGTCCTCTCACCCACCAACCCACTTCCTCGTTAAATTGAGAACAAAATTGTTGCATTAGCTTAGTGAGGAACTTTCAAATAACTTCGCTGTATTTATTTTGAAAATGTGCGGGAAAATGGAAAATAAATTTTTCATGAAAATATTCAAGACATATAAGATATATTCATATAAGAAGTCTCCTTGTTTACAAAAGTATTAATGCTAATAATACAAATAACTGAAGCTTTTACACAGTAGCCACAGGAAGGAAGTATTTGGAATAACCATACATACATACAAACATACATTTATTGAACAGACTCATCTGGGACTTTTCAGTGGACAAATTGGATTACAAAATTAAAATACATACAATACAATACGAATTATATATCTTTAACTAAAATATGGTCAGTTTAAAAATTCATTCAAAAGGTGATTTTTTTAGAGCTCTTTTAAAGGAAGCAGGTCTCTTACATAATTTTATGGCTTGGATCTAGCTTGTTCCAGATAGATACACTTTTATAATAAAACGTTTTCTGTCCTGTTGCAGTTTTAAAAAGAGGAATGTTTAGTCGTTGAAAGTTTCTGGTTATACGTCGATATACACTGCTTCTTGTTATATACATAGATGTTAAGTATTCTGAGGCTTGACCCGTCTTACATTTAAATGTTAAAGTAGCATCTCTACAACACACTTGTGTTTTTACAGGGAGCCAACATAAGTTTCTGAATAGAGGAGAGATACGGTCATATTCCTTTATGTTGCAGATAATATGCATGGCAAAGTTTTGAACGTATCGCAATTTACAACTATTACAGGCTGAGGTGGATGACCATACTGATGAACAGTAAAATAGTTTACTGAAAACAAGCGCATTTATTGTGGTTTCTGTAACAACCGCTAGTCTTCTCAGTATAAACAATGCTTTAATAGAAAAAACTTCTCCGACTCGAGCTGACAACGTGGTAATGCAAAGTGTTGCTAATACGCATGTGCGAACTGAACTATGTTGCAAATCTCGGAATACTGGACTGGATATTACATTTCTCCTTTTCTTTCGAGATAGTCTCTTCCTTAAGTGAAAAATAGGTACCCAACGGGTACTTGTGTCTGCTGCAATAGGATGGCGTTTTCACAAAGAACAGTGGCATATGTTACTCCAGTGATTTTTTTAAAAAAAGGTCCGCTATGCTAACATTTGGTAGTGCAAGGTGTTTCCTGGGAGCGGATAGTTTTATTTTATGCAATCAGGTGTAGTACTTCTGTTTCTTTTATACTAGGGTGTTTTTTTTTTTTTTTTTTTTTTTATACTAGCCTTGTGTTCACTATGTTGTATGTCCATTAGCATTAATATTTTTCAAAATGAACTGCATGTAACATATAAAGGTATGGAAATAAGTGTACCGGAAAAAATCGTAACGCAGTGGCAAAGACAATGTGGTAATTCAATTGCTTTTATTAACACAACTTATTTTGTTAAACATTAGTAATTCCACATGGTATATTTATGTTGTAATGAACTGTAACGAAACTTAATGGTACTTCAAGAACTGTTTAAGGGGCAATAACTGTAACGGAACTACTCAAAGTTAACGAAATTGCCAAAAAATTGCAATAAAGTGTAATCTAATTAATAGCAACTGAACCACTCATTCAATGTTGTATATTGTTACTTTTTGATCGAAATCATTTACACAATGATTTTAATAGGAATAAACTATAACAGCATTTCTGCCTGTGTATACTGTCTTACAGGCTGTATGTGAGCGTAAATCTGGCATTAATAAAATAACTTTGTAATTTTGTTTGTACAGGTTTGCACTTCCCACGTTTTTGTTTTCAACCTTTGCCAATGATGAGGGAAGTACATGAACAGCTATTCAAATGATATAGGGAGATACCTCGTTTATGATCTTTGATTTATTGTCATATTTTATTTTTAAGATTGGAGCATCTAAGAGTGCTTCTGTTATCTTTTCTTCATCCAGTGTTTGTGGACGTTGTAAGATATTAAAAACTTTTTTAATTTGTTCTTGGAAGAATGTTACAGTGAACTGGTTGTCATCTTGTGAAACTTTAACTTGTGCAAAACAGTTGGTAATACATTTATCTCTTTTTTGCATCAGATTACAGTTACCACATTTTATAATCTTGGCAGTAAAAGATCCATCTGCTACCTTTTTGTGGCACTGTAAACATGAAAGGTACTTTCCGAATGTTAGCAGACCAATGACTTCAACCTTGGCCTCTGTGGTTGTAAAAGAATCAGGCAGTTCAACAGACTGGGGTAAGGATTCAATGAAGTCCTCTGCTTCCGACACTGTACAGTCATGCATCGTTGTGCCCAAGGCCAGTTTGTCAGACTTGTATTCTTTTATAACTCTAACGTTATGGAATGTATAAGTTTTTCCTTCACTGACTTCATTTATTTTGTCTTCCCAGAGAGTTAATGTTATTGTTCCGGATGGATCGCTGAGGAAGCATTCAGCTTCACATTTTTCTCCATTCGCTGTAGTTACTTTTTTTGTACCACTGATCTTTGTAACTTTTGCTTTAATTGTTATCAGCTGTTGGAAGTGGACACCAGAGAGTGACGCTATGTTATTTGTTTGTGGTATTTCTTTTGGTGCGAATGATACCTTGGTTGCGTCAATTCGGACTTTGTTGTCCATAAGTACTGTATTTTCTAAAATGTGCAAATTCACCTGTGATTCAGGTAAATTAGTATAAATGTGGTCTATGGTGGTTCTGTTGTCAGTTGTATAACATGATATTAATTGCCTGTAGCTGTTTTCTCTAATGAACAAATTATAAAGAGGAAGTTTCTCTTTTTCATTTAACCAGTTCACATTAAAATCACCCATAAATAGTTTAAATTGGGAACAGTTCATAGTCAGAAGTTCTGTTAATGCTAAACACATCTGTTGTACAGGCACTCTGGGTGACCGATACACACCTATTATGGTAATTTGTGGTATTTTTTCAAGTTTTACAATAGTTATTTCTACGCCATTTGTGTTCATGCAAACTGGATACCCAGGAATAAAGCTTATTTTACTATACACAGCTGTTCCACCATAAGGTCTGGTATTACATGTTGTGCATTGACTGTCATTTCTAAATAAACTGTAGCCACTAATTGTGTATGCAGTATTGCTGTCTAAAGTATATAACCTTGTTTCTGAGAATATACTGACATCAGTATGTGAATAGTTCAAATCTTTGCGTATGTCTTCTATATGTTTATGCAATGATCTTGAATTAAGGAAGCATAACTTAACAGTAGGTTCATGTATTTCATAAATAGGAGTTAAAGAAAAGTGGAGATGCTTTTCTGTCCGTAAGCGTTGCATTTCTGCTTTAACATCATGATTTACAGCTATTTTGTTCTCACAAAGGTCAGTTATGTAAAGCCCTTCTATAGTTGTTACTCTACTTAATCCTACATAATGAATGTGAGGTATTGCTCTCCTGGTGTTAAAGTTAACTACTATTCTTGTCTCAGTGTCACCTTGTGATCTGTGAATGGTTTTAGCAGCTGCAGGTCTCAATGGAAATTGCTTTCTCACAACCTGAGCTGTTCTGTTTCTTCCAACTGCAAATTGTGCAGTGATAGGTTTGATAGGAGTCCATTTGCGTTCAATACCTTGTACAAATAAGTGCCTGTAATCATGTCTAGTTTTTCCTCCTACATGTGCTTGGTCAAATTCTACCCATATTATTCCAGAAGGTCTGTTTTTGTCATGTAATTGTATCTTCCTTACAATATTAGCAGCACCATTTGTCATGCCATCATCAGTCCTTAGATTCACTGCGATTTCTGTTCTTTCACCTTCAGCAAGTTGAAGGTTTAAAGGTAATTGCTTAGTTTTTCTAGGATCAAGTGGTACTTGCTTTAAGATCTTATCACTTAGTTCTGCAGAGTTAGCACCCACAACACTATCTAAGGCTTTAATTGTATACTTTTCACCAGTTGCAGCCATGTGAACTCTCCTATTAAACTCATCAACTTTAGAATTCTGTATGAACAAATGGGGGACATCGATAGGGTAATTTGTACAATTTTCTGAAATGCATCTCTCTTTAAGTTTTGCAATGTCTTCTGGAGTGTGATTACCTTCTCTTAACCTGTTAAGAAGTTGAGCAAATTCTTTGCTTTCTCTTTGTCTCATAATTTCTTCTAATTCAAACATTGTATATAGTTCTTGCCACAAGTTGGGAGCAAGAGCTCGATATTCTGAGTTGTTCATATCTTTAAACACATAACCATCCATAACAGGTTCTAACTGAAATAAATCACCAAGTGCTATCATGCTTACACCTCCAAATGGTTCTTTGCTGCCCATAATATCTTTTAATCTGTTATTTATTTGTACATTAAACATAGTATTGCCAACCATTGAAATTTCATCCAAAAATATTAGTTTCACTGCACGAAGTTTACATCTCAGAGTGTTAAGTCTACTTGAGTCAAGAGGTTTATAAATCTTTAGTGACTGGCTTGCTGGAATTGCCAAGGTACTGTGTATTGTATTACCTTGTATGCCAAAAGCAGCTTTTCCAGTTGGTGCTAATAACAGTATTTTAACATCATTGAAGTCTTCACCAGCTCTGGAGTTGTAATATTTTAGTGCTGCTTGATATAGACATTTGACCAGATGGGACTTGCCCACTCCAGCTCCTCCAGAGAGGAAATAGTAGAATGGTTTGTCTGATGTTTTAACAATATGCAAGATATGATAAAAAAATTCCTTTTGCTTTTGATTTAGTGTTTGCACCAATTGTCTGTACTCTTGGTCTTGTAATTCATTTAGTATCAGTGGTTCACTAGTTTCTATTGCTGAAGGAATTCCAACATCTTCTGATAAATCATAGTTTTCATTGAGGTCAGGATGCAAATCTTGAAGACCCTCAGCCTCATCCTGGTATTCTCTGTTTTGTGTAAATGGTGCTATTGAGTCAAAATGATCATTGTCTTCATCAAGATGAATCAAGTGTTCATGGATTTTGTCTAAGTCTTCACTGCAAACAGCATATAGTTTCATTTGCTTATTTATACTATCTTTTACATTTATGAAACGTTCTTGGTAGGAGGAACAGTTAGCTAACAAATCAGTGTCCTCATTTCTCCATGACGTAAACAGCATTATTAATTCACGATAATGTTTTTCTGGATCTTTTTCACAGTTATACCAAACACTTCTTATAATTCTAGCCTTTGATCTTTTTTTGTTACTTTTGGGATTGATGAGATTATCCTCAAAAAGGTCATCGTCATTTTGTTCATCATCAGCTGTTTCTAATGGAAGGTTATCAGAATCTCTTTCGAATGATTTTTTTGCATATGGTTTTCCACATGAGTCATACCATGCAGCCCAATCTGCCAATGTTAAGTATTCAAGGCTTAAAGGGCGTTTTGCATATCTTTGCAAAAGACCATTGGTATATACATCTTCACAATCATCATCCATTTCTTCAATGTCATTTATTGATTTTAAAAGCTGAACTCTTTCATTAGGAGGAGTGGTATTTATGAATATTACTTGACGAGAAGACTTCTTCATAGGAAGCTGTAAAACAATGCAAACAGCTTCTTGTGCACTTATCTCGACACTGTTTAAAAATTTGTTTCCAATGTCTCGGACTTGTTGCTTTATGCTAGAATTTCCTTTTCTGGCTTCAGCACATGCTTGTCGTAAAAGTTCACTCATTCCTTTTTGTGCTTTAGAAATATATGAAACTATGTACATGGCACATGCATACACATCAAGTACAAACTGGATATCCATGTTTGCTCTCCACGCCTCGAGGGAAGCAGGATTATAGTTGTTTATTCTTAACTCATTCGGTTTTCTTTTTAAAAACACAGTTGGTGAATTTAACGATGACCTCACAGCTAGTCGATATTCATTTTCAGTAACTTTTAATTTGACAAGTAGTTGTTCAAATGTTATAGGTTCGCCTTCTTTCATATCATTTAATTGCTTGTTGATTATTTTCCAAGTGTCTTTGTGCTGTTTTATTTTATTTTGTGGCATGTCTGCTTCTAAAGGGTAAAGAATTTCAGTTGCTCTCATAGGAGGTTGTGGATAGTTAAATCGACATTCATTCTTTGACTTTTTTCTACAAGTGTGACAATGCCTGTGAATTTGCCTGTTCACTAGTTTATGTAATTCTGTATTATCAACTGGCCACTGACAACTAATTATTTTATCAATAAAGTCTGTAACGGCAGCATTGTCGTCGACTCCAAATACTGGTGCATCTTCAAGCCATATAAGCATGTGTATGTGGGGTGAGCCCCGCTGCTGGTATTCTACTCGGTAAAACCAGTCAGAAATTTTGCCTAATGGTTGAGCTTTACCAAAAAGAAAGTTCGTGAGAAATTGACTAATTTGATAATCAAAATGTCTAGCACATGTCACTGGGTCACTTTGAATAAGCCTGCATTTCTCATCCCAGGTCATATTTTCAAGCTCACTGGTAGTGTAGTCTTTGTGATCAACTACCTGGCCAAGTATTCGAAGGAAATGTATCCATTGTGTTTCTGCTGAAGAAAAACTACAGAATATAGAAGATGGTCCTAATTGTCTAATCATTGCAAACAAATCTTTCTTAGCCTTTTCAAAATATGGTGGTGAACCTCTTAATGCTCTCAAGAATTGGAATCCATCATCAAGATGAATCAAGCGCTCTATTGCTCCTTCACATTTCAACTGTCCTGCATTTAAAGATCTATTATTTCCTTTGCACTTCCTAAGAGCAACTTGTGATTTCCCTAACATAATTTTCATTTGAAGTTTTTTTGTTTTAAAGAATATGTTTTCAACACACATAGCAGCTCTCCTATCTGAGCGTCTTAGTTCAGATTTACAGATGTCGCTATAATGAACGTTAACTAGTCTATCTTTATTTTCCGGCCGACCTTGACCAAGGAATATACCAGGATACGCTAATTCTTCAGAATATTGATCTCTGAATATACTTAGGGGTTTGGTTCCTTCTCCTGGTGCAACATTTAATATATGTTGAGGCTCACTGTCTTCAACAAATTCTGTGTTCGTCAACATGGTGTCAGTAACACCAGCAGGTATTTCTGCCTCATCTTCAGTCCACTGATCATCACTATCAGTGACATCACTTCCACTAATATTACTTTGCTTATTGCAGCTACTGGTGTTTTGTATTTCTTCTGATTGTTCATTTTGATTTTCAGGATTAGTTTCACCTAATAAACTGTTTACTCCCCAGTCTTGATTTACAGTTATTCCTTCCTGTTTGTAGAGAGTGCTGTTATTAACTAGCCAATTGGCTGCTTGAACAACTTTATGTGGCCTTATATTGAGAGACAATGCTGAGCTTTTGTATTGCAATTTTCTCTTTAAATTGACTTTAATTGTACCAGCATCATTGGGTAACCTTGGTAAGATATTGACAGTATCAGTTACTTCTGCTGGGACATTTACAACATTTCCATGTATTTTGAATTGCCTTCCTCTTGGAGCTTGCATTAATTTTTGAAATGCAAGTCTTGGAGCTACAAGCCTACATTCCAGTTCATTGAGGTCAAAAAATTCAGGTTTTATTGGAAAACTCATTCCATTCAATATGGCAAGGGGTGGAACTTTATTCTTTGCTAAGTAATTATGACAAGTTCTACATAGCCACTCTTTATTGTTGACACTTTTTGTTTTTAAAAGATATTTTTCAGCAGCAGGGTTTGATTTTCTTATTTTAGTAGCTGGGTAAACACTGTGTTTATACCACAGCTGATCACAACAACTACAAATATATAAGGGGCCCTGTGACACAATGTCATGAAACCTCATTATTAAGGCAGCCATGTTTTGTATTTTTTCGTTTTTTTCTTTTTGACTTTCAGCATTATTATTTTCTTTAGTGGTTGAGGTTTGCTTCTTGTTGTTACACTTATACTTTTGATTCATTTTAGTAGCCCTTTTGTTATTTCTGTAATGTTTCATGTAAGAAGTCCAGTTTTTTTCTGCTCCTGTGTCTTGGATTTGCATTTATTATTTCCACTACTGTTAGTGCTTATTCTTAAATTGTTTACATCAGAATTGTGTTTTCTTTTTCGACTTCCATTATTTACTAGTACAGCATTTGTATTCTCTTTAGTGGGTGAACTTTGTTTATCACTGTTACATTCATAGCTTTGATTCATTTTACCAGCCCTTCTGTTATTTCTGTAATAATTCATGTAAGAATTCCATTTATTTTTTTGCTCATGAGTTTTGGATCTGCATTCATGGTTTTCACTGTTCTTAGTACTTATCCTAACATCGTTCAGATGGGAATAATTGTGTTTTCTTTTTCGACTACCATTATTTACAAATACAGCATTTGTATTCTCTTTAGTGGGTGAACTTTGTTTATCACTGTTACGTTCACAGCTTTGATTCTTTTTACCAGCCCTTCTGTTATTTCTGTAATAATTCATGTAAGAATTCCATTTGCTTTTTTTTCATTGCTCTTAGTGGTTATTCTAACATCATTCAGATTGGAATAATTATTGTGTTTTCTTTTTCCAGTACTATTGTGTACTTGTTCAGGAAGAACATTTTGTTCTGTAAAATTGAAATCACTATTGTGACTTCTGTAAGGGTGCTCATTTCCTGAGTAAGAGCTATTTGGTATTGTTGATACATAATGCACTTCGTTTACATGACCTATATATATTGTTCTTGGTTGCTGTGATGATGAATGGCGTGGCCCTATTAAAGTTGCCTGTCCAAAATTTATGTGAGATTCTACAATATAAATTTGTATATTAAGTGATTCTGCAACTGCTTGTACAATTAATGCATCACACCATGTACCTTGCATTGACATATTTGTCAAGTAACCATTCCATGAGTTCTGAGTGTTGCTTTCAATGAAACGTTCAGGGTTATCCCTGAGGTATTGGACAGCAGCTTGTCTGATGTGAAAGTGATGACTGGGATTACTATACAATTGATGTGATACGGCTTTAAAAAAGCAGTCACCTGCACCACCCACATCTAAAGCTATCAATCCTAACTGTCCTAATCGAAAGTTAAGCAATGTTGAGGAATCCACTGACAAATTGGTCTGATTGTTCACATTCTGTTCGGGACCTGGATTTAATTCAACGTCACCTGATCTCAAAAGATTCATCCTTGATACGCAATATGTTTTAGCCGGGCAAGTTGATTTTTTAATTTTACCTGAACAACAGCTACTAGTTTGCTTTCTTTTTTTTACTTTTTTGTTGCCAGTCTTTTAAAATTGAGTAAGGAAGTAATAAAAGCGTTGCATTTTTGTAAATACCGTATATACCACAATTTATAGTGAGTAACCAAGTCATACAATCTTGAAGATTTAGGGGTACATTTCTTAAAAATAAACTTTAGCTTGCTTCTAGCTTTTCTCTTTTTCGTATAATTTAGGACCTTTTTCACAGGTATTCTAGATGGCTCTCGGTCTCTATGTCGTTTTACTTGTTTAACGAACTTGGAATTTTTCCGAGGGGAATGTTTGTGGAATTCTTTCGATGGCGGTACATCAACAATGGAAGCTCCCACAACAAATCTTACATCTGTTTTTAAAGATCTGTTAGAAACTATCCTTAGATAACAAATATCATGAATTGTACTTCTACACTTCCCTTGTAGGTTAAAAATTGCAACAGCTTTCGCAAATGTCTGGCCAGTGAAAGGTATTTTCACTTTAGGGGCGATTTCATTTCCCAAACAGCGGGTTAAACAGGGCATATTTCCCTCAGTGGGCTTTATAATCCCCAAAAGGGGCTCAATAATTCCCGTAATGGGCTTTTCTCTCCCCAAATGGGGCTCATTTATTCCCCGAAGGGACTTTCTTTTCCCCAAATGGGACTCATAAAGCTCATTTTGTGTCCAAGGCACTCGCAATATCGCCGAGTGGTGATGCTGTTGGCGCCAAGAAAGCTTCCATCGATCTACAACTTCAAAGCATCTTTCAAAACCTTTCACACGGCTGGACAAACAAGTAGTGCGAATGCTGTGGCAAATGGACAAAATACCCTTTAAGAAATCCATCACAAAGATGAAAAACGAAAAGATCACTTACCTAGCAAGCAACAAACACTGCAATAAGCTCGCGTGAAATATACAACAAGATGGCGCACCTCTTCCTTCGAAAGCTGAACGGAAGCACATGGTTGTTGACGAAGTTGACGTTTCCTTTTCTCGTATTTGATTGGTTCCCAGTCTTTCCGGAAATTAGTTGTGTGCCACGAGCTGTTGGCGTTGTCCATTTCTCAAATCCGATTGGTTCCAATATTCCCCAGAAGAACGAATTTAACCCGAAAGTATTACAGGCTACCGAAAGTATTACACTTTGAGAATACTTCATGTAACATGTCACGAAATGGAATCCACGGTGAAACGTCATGAGAAAATCCGCGATTTTATCTTATATGAAGTAGTGTGTGCCACGAGCTGTTGGCGTTGTCCATTTCTCAAATCCGATTGGTTCCAATATTCCCCAGAGGAACGAATTTAACCCGAAAGTATTACACCCGAAAGTATTACAGGCTACCGAAAGTATTACACTTTGAGAATACTTCATGTAACATGTCACGAAATGGAATCCACGGTGAAACGTCATGAGAAAATCCGCGATTTTATCTTATATGAAGTAGTGGTCGCGCGTTTTACAGCTTATCATTGTGTCTGCATGCAAATGCAGCAGACACAAAAACAACGCAACTTAAAACACGTGTCCTAACTTCGACTAGGCATGCTATTTTAAAGCACAGTCCTTTCTGTTTCATGTTAGGTACAGTTAAAGTATAGTCTTTAGGTGACAAAGTCTTTCAAATACTCTGGATGTTTTTGATCTCGCCTTGGTCTGGTCGCGGCTGCTGGCATAGGTTGTTTGCTCTGGTCCGCTTTGTCACTGGTGTTGGTTTTAGCTGCTTCCTTTGCGCTGCTTTCGTTAGTCTCCTCCTGGACTAAGTGAGGGTTGGCATTCAGTAGATTCTTCTCTCTCCAATCCTCTTGGTTCTTTTGTTCTTCCTGGTCTTCATTTTCTTCGCTGGTGTTTTCCTGGATCAGTGAGTTAGCAATCTTGAACTGGCTTGCGTCACGGTACACTTTGCGTCCATCTGTGATCCTTTTTGCTGCAATGCTTGATCCGTCTATTCGAGTTACTCTGTAGAATGCTGGTTCAAATGCGGTAGACCATTTGTTTCTCTTTTTCTGTTTCAACAGGACATGATCTCCGACTAAGAAATTGTGCTCTTTGGTGTTCCTGTTCTCGGCATTCTGTTTGATCTTATCTTTGTATTTCTCATCCCGCTTATCGATGGCTGTGTCACGGAGATTCTCATTGCACTCCCTTGCTTGGTGATCTAGTTTGGTTCTGATCTGTCTGTTCATTAGGGCTTCATATGGTGGCACACCAGTAGCAGGATGCGGTGTTGAGCGATAGCCTGTTAGCATCTCTTGAACAGCTACACTGCTTTTTCCCCCATTGAGACGAGCGATCTGCTCAGTCTTATTCAGTAGTTTCATGAAGCTTTCCGCCTCTCTGTTAGCACGTGCGTGTTCTGGGGTAACTCGGTGATGGTGGAATCCCTCTGTTTTGGCAAACTCGGCAAATTCTCTGGAGTTAATTGGTGGTCCATTATCGCTTTGTAGCTGTCTTGGAGTCCCATGAGTGGCAAACATGGTTTTGAGCTTTTCCATGGTCGGCTGGAATGCTGTCGAGTGAGTCTTCATGACTTCAGGGTATCTTGTTCTCTTGTCAATGGCCACTAGGTTATAATGACCGTCAGGATAGGGTCCGCTGAAGTCTACAGATATGACATCCCAGGGTTTCTTTGGTATGTCTTTGACTTTGATGGGTTCCTGTCTGTGCTGCTTTGTGGTTACCTGACATTCGTAACATTGACCGATGATCTGCTCTACCATATTGTTCATGGTTGGAAACCAATACTTTGCTCTTAACATCTGCTTTGTTTTTGTCATTCCCAGGTGTCCCAGGTGATGTGCTGCCTTGATGACCTTTCTCTGTAGGCTTGTTGGGACAATGATCTGATTCATCCTGAAGATTAGGTCATTGACTACGTACAACTCATTCTGTACACTATAAAATTGAATAATTAAACGAGACTTACCTGTAAGTTGAAGTTTGATTGAGATTCTACCGTAGCATTTGCAGAAATGAAGAGATCACATGAGATAGCAAGTCACATGACTTCGAGCTCAGTCTTGAAAGCGTTTTTTTTTTTTTTTTTTTTTTTTTTTGAGGAGTCCTGTAGACCACCCCATAGATGAATAGTAAATATATGGTGTATGCAACACCATAGGATGATATGAACAGGGGGAGGGGAAGGGAGGGATGTGATCTCTTCATTTCTGCAAATGCTACGGTAGAATCTCAATCAAACTTCGACTTACAGGTAAGTCTCGTTTAATTATTCAATTCTACCTCGCATTTGCATACATTCTGAGATCACATGAGATTTTACAGCTCTATAGGGCTCTCAAAAAAATAAAGAATACACATTCCAGATAAGGAAACGTAAGCATGGCATTTATTACCAAGGCACTAATTCTTTCCCAGTACACTGTTGGCAAAGGAACTATCATTTAACAGTGGTTTGTTATAATAAACAGCAAACACAGAGCTTGAACGCCAGCCAGCTGTGGTCATAATTTCATCTAGAGGAACATCAGCTGACTTTGCAGCAGAAGTGGCTGCACTTCTGGTGGAGTGAGGCTTAAAAACAGAAGTATTAATTCCAGCGTCAAGCATAACTTGTTTGAGCCACCTAGAAATAGTGTCTTTAGAAGCAGGCCCATGAGGCTTGCAGTGGCAAATCAGGAGTTGAGAACATGAACCCCTTAAGTTAGAAGTTCTAATAAGATACTCTTGTAACAATGTAAAAACGCAAAGAGTTTTATCATGGTCATATTTCTTCAACACAACAGGTGGCAGGTGTCTTTGCCGGCCACCATGAGCACTTGTTTGCTTTTGAATGGAAGTAATTTGAAAAACATATTCTCCATCTTTAGATTGCATGTCATTGATTGACAGCAACTTAAGAGTCTGTGTTCGTTGTGCAGTAACTAAGGCCAAAATCATAGTCAGTTTCAAAGTCAATTGCTTCAGAGACATTTCCTTGGTGTCAGGATAGCCCTTGAGGTGGCTGAGAACAATTTGGGGGTTCCATGTTTCCACATATCTGGGGAAAGTTGGTTTCCTGTTGAAAGCACCCGACATAAAACGTGAAATAATAGGGTGTTCTCCTACTTTGAAGCCATCAATATTGATGAAGGAGGAAAGAGCACTTCTAGTGGTCCCTAGAGCACTGTAGCTAAGCTTTTTGGACTGAAAAGTTAGAAAGTTCAACAGTTGTGGTAATGAAGGTGTTGTAATGCTGATCTTCTGTTCTTTACAGTAATTTATCCAAGCTGATATGCTGGATCTGTATTGCTTCTGGGTACTTTCTCTCCAAGAATCAATAATAATGTTCAAAGTTTCACCAGTTATTCCTTGCAGCTGGAGGGATTTCCTGACACAAGACAGCCAATCAGTCGGAGCTTGGGGTAGAGGGGATGGACGTTCTTGACATTGTGGGGAAGGGTCAGGGTTGACTTCTGCAACTTTATTCGGTGTAGAGGCGCCACTAGCATAGACATTACTCGTGGGTACCAAAACTGTGTTGGCCAGTCGGGGAGAACTAGGATTGCTGTTGTCTCGGAGAATATTATCTTCTGAAGTACTTTCCCAATAACACTGAAAGGTGGGAAGCAGTAAACAAGTTTAAACACAGACCAGTCAAGTGTAAAGGCATCAATAAAATGAGCACATGGGTCAGGTTTCCATGCTGCGTAGCAGGGCAGTTTTGCATTCAACCGTGATGCAAAAAGATCAATCTCAGGATTACCCCATTTAGTAATTAAGCTGTTATAAACATGAGTGTCTAATGACCATTCCGTGTCATCATGAAAATGTCTACTTGCTAGGTCAGCTTCAACATTAAGTTTTCCAGGTAAATGGGTGACAGCTAAGGATATGCCCCTGTCTTTGCACCACATAAGAGTTTCTCTTGCAATCTCATTACAGTCCCGAGAGTGAGTGCCACCCATATTTCTCAAGTAGGAAACCGCAGTTTGGTTATCAGACAATACTTTGATGTTACAGTTTGTTAAGTCTGAGCACAAGGACTGAAGGCCAAACAGGACTGCTTTTATCTCCAAATAGTTTATGTGGCACATACTCTCACTGTGGGACCATCGTCCATTTGCGGCAAGGGAAGAATTTTCAATAACACTTCCCCATCCTTCTAGAGAGCTATCACATTTAAGGGTTAATTTGTATTTCATAGGCCGGACAGGGCATGGATCATTGTCAATATTTGAAAGCCACCAAGACATGTCTTTCTTAGCTATATCAGAGATGAGCATTCTGTCATCTAAGTTCCACCCATTCGTCTGTAAAGCATCAGTTTTGTCATTTTCAAGAGCACGGTAATACAGTGGGCCATATTTGACTCCAGGAAAACATGACACCATTTGCCCAACTACAGATGCAACCTCTCTAATAAGAGGCTGCTCCGTTCTGAGGAGCTGTAAAATGGCTGATTTCGCTTTATCAGCCTTGTCCGATTTCATAGAGACTGTCATCACAACCGAGTCTAAAATGAAACCCAGGAAATTGACTCTCTGGGATGGGACAAGTTGGGATTTATCAGAATGGATAGTGAATCCCAGAGACTGCAACAATGTAATAGCCCTTTGTATAAATATGACCAATGTCTGAGGGTCATTGGCAAAAAGTATAATGTCATCAATGTAAATTACTAGAAGCACCCCGTCCTCCCTTAATTTGGCAAGGGCAGGTTTTAACAATTTGGTAAAAATTCTGGGTGCACTAGAGAGGCCATTAGGAAGGCAAACAAATTCATAAAGTTGGCCTTCGTGCTCGAAACGAAGGTATTTTCTGTCCTCAGTCCTAATAGGAACAGAGTAGTATGCGTCTTTTAGGTCTAAGACAGCCATCCAACAATTAGGCTTCATAAGTTGAAGTGCGTTAGGCAGTGAATCCATCTTGAAGTGATGGTACTCAATATGCTCATTTAGCTTTTTCAAGTTCAAAATAAGACGGTGAGACCCATCTTTTTTGGGCCTGGTGAAAATTGTTGAGATAAATTCACCAGGAACATGAGTAGCTTTCCTAATGACCCCTTTAGTTAAAAGCTTGTTAATTTCAGTAGTAGCAATATCTGTCTCTTTACAAGAAAGTTTGACAAGGAGGGTTGCAAAACTCTAGTTGGTAACCCTTAACGATGCGTAAAATGTAGGGGTCAGACGTGAGCGTCTGTCAAGCACTGAAATGCTTAGCTATGTTTCCAGCAATATATACATTGGTACAAAGAGGCGAACATATACTTACTGTGCTAGTAGCTGGCAGCAAGTGTTCTATTGGCTTGTCCGGGTTGTCTTGTCCCGGTTGGCATTGTTCTTGGATTTCCAAGGTTTGAAGTTGTTGCCTCTCCAGTTTTTTGACTGCTTATAGCCATTATAGCTGTTATTGCCAGGTCTTCCTGGAGAAGGGCGATGCCCTTTATAATTAGGGGTGATCTTGGCCCCAATTTTGTTTTGATCGCCAATATCTTTCAAATGCTTTTGTAGATCATCTCCAAAGAGAAAATCTGTAAATGGCAATTGGGAGGAGCAGAGAGCTGAGTATTCCCTCCCAATATCTGGTCTCAGTAGAAGACGGCGCTGCATGTTTATTTCATAAGAGGCATGAGTGAGGAGGGAAATGGCCTCCAGCCCCTGTTTCTTTAGGTCTTGGCATTCATCAGCATTAAGCGATTTTGCCTGCATAAGCATGTCCGTGATTCGGACAACTGGCAGGATGCCTTTTGTGAGGGCTTGTTGTATTTTGAAAAATTGTAAATCCCTCTTCTTAGTTGGCTCTCTCAGTCGACGCCAAATGCCCGGGTTTACCTGGGGAGGCTTGGCTGTAGTACAATTAGCCGGTCTCTCCTGCCTCTCAAGCCGGTCTTTGAGATTTTTCTCGCTTAGTTTGCAGCGGAACATTTTGTCAACTAGCTTGGCTAGTTTCTCATTTTCGAGGCTTTCGCCCACGATATCGTCAGACTCGTATTCTTTTACGAGTTCCGAGAGGAAATCATCCTCATCACCACTACGAGTGGTGTTTGGCTCTGACTCATCACTGTTGTTGTTTAACACAGAGTCATAGAGTTTCTCGCAGTCAGTTGACTGGTCGGAGGCGCTCGTGGAGCTTCTCGCCTCGCCATCTTTGTTTTTTGCTTTTTTGGCGGGAACAGCGTTTGGAGAGTTGCTCGCCGGCCGTTTTCCTTTGTCTTTTGTCTCTCCCCGCGGCGAATTGATGAGTTCTGGCAGGCTTTTCGTCAGGCCTAAAATTGCGTGGGTGAGTTGGCTAATTTCTTCCGAGGAAGCGGCTGTTTTGTCCTTGAGTTGTCGTGAAGCGTGTGCAGGCACCGCGTTGCGTTCGTCGGGTAGCGAATCCTTGTTTATCTGGTCTTCTTCGCCCTCGTCCTCAATTTCGTCGGCGAGGAAATCGTCCTCAGATTGTTTTGACATCGCTAATATCTTCGGCTTGAGGCTCTGAACGAGAAATGGATGAAATTTCTGAAAATTTTGTGGGAGCGACTAGTGCTCCAAGCGACCTTGCCCGAAATCAAACTCGCACTGAGCTCGAAGTCACGTGACTTGCTATCTCATGTGAACTCAGAATGTATGCAAATGCAAGGTAGAATGGCTTCCAAAAGTCATCATCTAATTTAGTTATTCAAGTTTTCTCTATTTTTTACTTATTTCATTTCAGGAAGGCATTCTGTAAGACACAAAAGAGCGATGAATAACACGCGTGAAATCCTAGAGAAGATCAAAATAGGTTTGGATGCTGCCACATATCTTCTGAAGACTGATCGTGGTATACAAGCCTCTGATTTGTGTGATGAATGTGTAATCTTACTCAACAACCTAGACTTTGGTATTAACGGCCTTGATATCTCTGAGGTAATATTTAATGCGTACTATGCAATCTCTGGTTACACAAATGCAATAAGTTGCACCATTAAACTTACTGACATATTCTACAATGCTGGAATATCAATGAAGGAACTGGGAGACAAATATTTACGAAGAAGTAGGTTTGCAGAAGCCAAGAAACTTTTTGAAAGCGTAGTTGCAATCAATAAAACAATTGGCTTTAAAAGTGGAGAAGCAATCACTTATGGCAGGCTAGGATGTGTGTTTGAATTACTTGGTGAATATAACAAGGCTAAAGAACATCATGGGAAAGCACTTACTATCGCAACAGAAATTGGCGACAGGAAAGGAGAAGGAGTATGCTACGGGAACCTTGGAAATGTGTTTAAATCGCTCGGTGAATATCAGAAGGCTAAAGAATATAACGAGAAAGCACTCGTTATCGCAACACAAATTGGCGACAGGAAAGGAGAAGGAACACAGTACGGGAACCTAGGAGTTCTGTTTCGATCACTCGGTGAATATCAGAAGGCTAAAGAATATCATGAGAATGCACTTGCTATCGCAACAGAAATTGGCGCCAGGGAAAAAGAAGGGACATGCTACGGGAACCTTGGATGTGTGTTTGAATCACTCGGTGAATATCAGAAGGCTAAAGAATATCACGAGAAAGCACTTGCTATCGCAACAGAATTTGGCGAAAGGGGAGGAGAAAGAGTATTCTACGGGAACCTTGGAAATGTGTTTCTATCTCTCGGTGAATATCAGAAGGCTAAAGAATATCATGAGAATGCACTTGCTATCGCAACAGAAATTGGCGCCACGGAAGGAGAAGGGACATACTACGGGAACCTTGGATGTGTGTTTGAATCACTCGGTGAATATCAGAAGGCTAAAGAATATCACGAGAAAGCACTTGCTATCGCAACAGAAATTGGCGACAGGGGAGGAGAAAGAGTATGCTACGGGAACCCTGGAGATGTGTTTCTATCTCTCGGCGAATATCAGAAGGCTAAAGAATATTGCGAGAAAGCAATTGTTATCGCAACACAAATTGGCGACAGGAAAGGAGAAGGAACACAGTACGGAAACCTTGGATGTGTGTTTCAATCATTCGGTGAATATCAGAAGGCTGAAGAATATCACGAGAAAGCACTTGTTATCGCAACACAAATTGGCGACAGGAAAGGAGAAGGAACACAGTACGGGAACCTAGGAGCTCTGTTTGAATCACTCGGTGAATATCAGAAGGCTAAAGAATATTACGAGAAAGCACTTGCTATCGTAACAGAAATTGGCGACAGGAAAGGAGAAGGGAGATGCTACGTGAACCTTGGAGGTGTGTTTCTATCACTTCGTAAAAATAAGGCGGCTAAGGAACATTTTGACAAAGCCCTTACCATCAGTACAGAAACTGGCGAAAGAAATTGTGAAGGATGGTGCTACGCAGGCCTTGCAGATGTGTTTTATTCGTTTCATGACTACCAGAAGGCTACAGAACTATACGAAAAACTGCTAACTATCAGCATGAACGTTGGTGATAAGAGAGGACAGGGATTGAGTTACCTAAGACTTGGAGATGTTTCTCTATCGCTTGGAAATTATGACCAATCGGAGAAATTCTTTAACAAAGCGCGCTCGATGAGCAGCAAAATTAGAGGCAATATGATTTACTTTAAGAGCCTCCTCGGTATTACTCGAGTAAAGATGTCGCAATCAAAGTTAGAGGATGCAATGCAGTATCTTCGTCAAAGTATTGAAATTTATGAAAAGTTGCGAAATTTTCTCAAAGGAAACGATGAATTTAAAACGTCTCTCTTGGAAGAGCACGGTAATTTCCCCTACAAGTTGTTGCGTAAAATGCTGTGTGCCAACGGACGCCTGCGAGATTCTCTCAACGTGGAGGAGCTGAGACGTGCTAGAGGCCTTGCAGATTTAATGGCGGACAAACTCTTAACTGAAAGCCACATCTCAACTGATTCAACATATCG